CCGCATCGATAGGTAACTCCATACACCTGTACATCTCAAACACCCAAACAACTGGGACTGGGATGTGCTTGACTGATCTCCAGAGACCCAAACCCTCATCCCCGATCCATACAGAAAGAAGACCACCCGCATCTATCTATTGAAACGGTTCTTCCTCCACCTTGCGGTCGATTGAAAAGCATGACAGTCGGAGCTGGTCGGCCATGGAGCCGAGCGACCATCCCTTGCGGTTGGGATGTGTCTCGGTCTCCGGCAGTGGCGGTGGGATGAGAGAGATATAATGGTCCATGAGGTCATACTGGATGATCGTGCCGGTGCCGCTATTCGTCTAGTAGAATGAGGTTGTCTCGCTGCCGTAGATTCCCAAAGCTGACACCCCCGCGAGAACGGCACAAACCTCCTCGTCCTCCATCTGCATGATGACCCAGCCATGGCTCGATCCTTCCCTTTCTAAAGAGAAACACTGACACGAAGTTGCGTGGCCGGGCAGTGCAGAGAGGAGAACGACGAAGAACTCAAGCATCTCCCCCTAGAGAATGCTACTCATGTATTCACCTATTCAAACCTAACGAATCAACTATTATACTTTAGACTTTGCAAATACTAAGAATTTAAGTATCTTATGGCACAACTTTTATTTACTAGGGATCTACCGATCATATATGGCTTATTGGTCTAAGCCATGATTACATTGCAATTGGAATGGAATATATACCATACTTTTTTATGAACAATACTAGTGCAGTAGAACTACCATATTTTCTTATAGGAGGATTATTTTCAATAAAGAATGGTAAGTAGATACGGCAGAAAGTAAAGAATTGCACATGAATGGATCATACCATTATGCCCCATGGGGCTATATTAATACAAATGTACAAAGTTCTAGAGCTAGATATTTTTCTGATAGAAAATATCTAGGGTTTAGATAATGATAAAAAATGTTCTAGAGTAAAGGTATTTTATGCGATGTTTTGGGTATGAATGCATCTAGGCTCCTAATTCAGTTCCGATGATTAATGACAACACAATCATTGTGACCAATATGTGTTTTGGAGAAGCAATATAAGTTAGGTCACAATGATGATTGATTAATGGGCAATCAATGGTTTTATGCCACTATTGATGGATTTCGTTTTAGTTTTGAAAGGATGGGCGACAAGGTTAAAGACAGACTAGTTCTAAGTGTCATTTGGCAAATTGACGTTGAGAGACACTTAGAATAGTTTAAGACTTTGTTTTTCCTTTAACCGTACTATAAAAGGGGGTATGAACATGTACATTGACCTAGGTGAGTCTAGTAAGTGTGTATGATTCATACTTGTCAAACTTAACACTAGGTTGGTCCGAGGAAGCCCAAAGAAAAAAGGAAGCAAAGTCATTCTCAAAGTTGGTTGAAATGGTGGAGAATGCGGGGTTCCTATGTGCACTGGATTTATCCAATGCTCTGCCCCAAGGAGCACCGGAGAATGCGCTACATGTTAGGGTTTCACTATATAGTGAACAATGGAACCTATTATTCTAGTGCACTAGAGAAGTCATGCACCAGAGAAAGCGCTACTGGGTACTATGCTTAGTGTTTGGACTCCTAGACTCATCGGATTTATTCGATGGGGGTCACCGAGATTTCTGGTGCTTTGCAGAGAGGTTACATAGAGGGTTTTGGTGCACTAGATTAGTCCGGTGGCCAGCACCAGAGAAAGCGCTTGAGGGCCGTACAAAGTAACGACTTGTCCAAATTTAGCTGTTGGAGAGGCACCGGATTAGTATGGTGCTCAGTTCAAAAGACCACCAAAGTTTTCTGGTGTTGGTGTTTCAGTTGAGTGGAGTTTAAACGGTTAGTTTTTGGAGCGGGTGATATTTATACCCCCTCCATCTCGTGCAAGAGAACGCTCTTAGCATTTAGATTAGTTGCATATAGATATCAGTGACTAAGAGAGAGCTCAAGGCTAGTGGAGTGATTTGGATTTTCTAATTTGAAGATTAAGGACTCCATTAGTGATTAGGGAGTAGCAAGTGTGCATCCAGTCTTCTCATTAGGCTTTGTTAGGTTGAGTGAGAGTTTGTGCTTGTTAATCTTGGTGATCAACATCACCTAGATGGCTTGGTGGTGATTTGAATCTTGGTGATCTCTCAGTGGCGATTGTGAGAGGCCCATAGAGAGCACTTGGTCCTTGTGCAGATCAAGGGGAAGCAATACCCATGCGCGGGTGCTCTAACGAGGAGTAGTGGAGAGTGTTGACTCTCCGATACCTCAGAAAAACATCGCACATTATTAGAATTCCCATGTTATACTAGGGTTGAAACTAGGCTGCAAAACTTTGTGCGGTAGGCTAAAAACAGTTATTTAGGCACAAGGGTGAAATGGGCTAAGCGGTAGGTTTTAATTTCACGGGAATTTTATATTAGCCCAATTCAACGCTCTGTCTCCGCCTTTTGGACATCTTGATCCTTTTAGGGTAGTTGCCACATGGCATCCCGCTCGAGAAAACGAAAGGACCGTTGGTACTTAGGGAAGACCAATTACTCAATTGCGCTGTAGCCACATCAAGTACTACTCAGCTGAGCATGCTAATCACAATTAGCATGTGGGTTAGTGTGTATAGATTTACACTCTTCGATCTGACCCATCCTGAAAGGTACGTTGATGAGACATTCATCCATTCATAGTTGCCAAACCAAATACATGACACAATTTAGAAGGCTACACCAATGAGACTGACATCAGAATTAAACAGGCAAACATCTCAGAATGATCGAGAACAACACTAAAACTATTCTCACAAATAGATAGAAAACGCCTAGAAACCCACATACAACTGATTGACGACGGTGTGTTGCAACAGATACATGTTGGACTAGAACGGGAAGTCATCTCCATCATCCTCGAGGTCGCGTAGCACGAGTGTCTTGTCTTTCTTGACGATGGGGAAATGAGCTTTTGGCCACATCCATTGGTAGCTCTAGGCACTTGTACACTTGAAATACCCAAATAATTTCACCAGAATCTGCTTCACTGATATACAAACAGCCTCATCTCTAATCCAGATGGAAAGAACGCTGCCCAAGTCATCCGTTTGCTCAAACAGTTGTGCCTCAGCTGCCAATACAAAAACAGGAGATCCAAGGTTGGACGCCGCCCGTTGGAGCTGAGGGACCATTCCATGTAGGGCAGAGACAAGGGGGCAGACAGGGGCCTGGGCCCCTAATATAATGTTGCACAGTTTTCATTAATACTTCTCATTAGCTCTGACTAATTACTAGAAATTATAACAACAAGCCTTCTTTACTAATTCTAGATCATTTTTTCTCAAATCTCTTGATTATATAATTTTAAGAATCTAAATAAAATATGACGTGAATTGTTGATCTATGAACAATGTCCCTTTTTATCTTCAATTTAGACACTTAAATGAACAATTCAGTCCTTGCTTAAATATCAACTACCATTATCAAGGTACGTGGGCAAGGGTATGATACTGGAGGTAGTAATATGAAGGGTCATGTTAATGGTCTAAAAAGCTAATTATGGTGGAGTCTCCTTGTGCACTCCCATCAACTTCAACTAACACTTTTAGCTGTTATTAAGGAGAATATTGATCGTTAGTGGTTTTTTAAGACAACTTTCATATTTGTTGAATACTCTAAGAATGTCTTGTAAGAAGACATGTATGCTTCGTGTAGCTCAAGCCGAGTATATGATTGAAGCATTGATATTGGGTGAAATTGAAACCGGCCAATGTTTGAATCAAGAGACGGGTTCGCAATGCCAGGTGATACACGTTGTGGGATCTCACTACAGAACTGTAATGCATGTTATGGATTTGCATCCTTCAATCAAGGAAGTCCTTTGGAAGGCTATGTTATGGATTTGTATCCTTATTGAAGGATGGTTCTTCTTCTTCTTCTTCGTGTTTGAAGTGTCCGTACATGTGTATAGTACATGAGCACATGCTTAATTCGTATTGCACGGCTAATTTGACCATTTGCGCCATTTATAAAATATGAGAGGCTGGGTGCATGCTAAAAATCGTTTTCACGGTAGTTCCGATTCCTAGCATCGTTGACACAGGGGCTATATAGGTGTAGCCTCGCGTCAGGCCCCGGCCCTAATAAAGGGGGAAAAATTGCACGCAAACAGTATCCACAGGAAGTGCGTGCATACAAATCGCAGATGAATGCCACGTGTAAGCCGAGACCATCCAACCACGTGCGGCCGGAGAGCGGAGAGTTGTGCGCTCCGTGTTTGCAGCCGAGCCAAGCCGGTGCTTCCGGTTCGCGCAGATTTCTAGAAAGTTATGGACACGTGTCAGGCAACCAAGAAGTGAGGTATGCATGTAGTCTCAGTATGCATTCCCTAATAAACTGGTACTCCTAGTCAAGCCCAACCGCAATCGGTCAATTTTCTCGTCGCGTGTCAGTCTGGTTGTTGTTTTTCTTCCCGTTTTTGTGCGCGCCTGTTCGTGTGATTCTCTCTCATTTGTCTTCACATACGGCAAGGTCTGCTCTATTTCAAACTGCAAGCTAGGCGGACATTTTGTCGACTCATCATATAGATATAGACACATGCATGTTCTCGGTGGATTAGTACGGGTGTGTTTGGTCTGAAGAACAAGATGGTTCATCATCTTCTTATCCCTCTTTTTTTGTTTGGTCTTTGAAATGGAATAGATTCGATGTATCATCACCTCGTTCCTCACATGTAAATAATTAGTACCGGTACGACAATAATAGAGTCATCCTACGAAAATTAAGGAATAAATTTATAATGCACCACCTCATCTAAGATGGAGTGGCTCCTGCCAAACACCCTATAAAATCGCTGGCGCAGCTGGTTGCAAAAATTATCTCTAGTATTTTAGCATTTAGCAAGGAACAAACCCACTAATAATATTCCTGCTGTAATAACCGTGCGTGCCATTATTTATCTTGAGCACGACGTGCAGTGTTCATCCAAATTGGTGGCTTACCAAGTCAGCCCTCCTGTCGGTTTGTCGGAGATGCAGCAGCAGTTGGAGGTGGCCGACGAGGTGGAGCGGCCGCCGCTGCCGCCAGCGAAGCCCGGGCTCCTCCGCTACAACTCTCCACTGGTGCAGGTGTTCCTAACAGGCCTCGTGTGCTTCTGCAGCGCCGGCATGTTCAACGCGCTCTCCGGCCTCGGCGGCGCCGGGCAGCTCGACCACACCATCGCCGACGATGCCAACACCGCCCTCTATGCTTGCTTCACCGTGTTCGGCGTCCTTGGCGTCCCGGCACACAACCTACTGGGCCCATGGACCACCGTCCTGCTCGGCGCGCTCGCTTACCCGCTCTATGACTCCTCCTTCCTGTACTACAACCACCGCCCGGCCTCCATTGCCTTCCCCGTCGCCACGGGGACCGTCCTCGGCGCTGGCGCTGGCCTCCTTTGGGCTACCCAGGGCGCCATCATAACCACCTACCCGTCCCCGAACCGCCACGGCACCTACATCTCCCTCTTCCTCTGCCTCTACAACCTCGGCAGTGTATTCGGTGGACTCTTCCCCTTGTCGTTCAACTACCACCGTGGTGGCAGTGGCAGCGTCAACGACGGCACGTACATCCCTTACATGGCCTTCATGCTCCTGGGCGCCGCGCTCAGCCTCCTCTGTTGGCCCACAGGATCACCGGCTCAGGTGAGTGAACCACTCCCCAGTGTTGCCGAGCACCCACTAGCTGTGCCGACCACAAACAAGCGTTGTCCGTCCCCACACACTATGGCTAGAGCTAGAAAAAGAAGAGAGAATAGAGCATACACACAGTACAAGACACCAGCGTTGGCCGAAGCCCTGTATGAGAGATGGCAAATCTGAACTCTCTTTATTGAATTACCGTGGTAGTCTATTTATACAACTCTATCCATCTAGTCCCAGTATAGCTGCCCTGCTGTAACATTGACTAGATAACATATAGGGCTGACTCTGCGCCGGCCTCTGCATGTGCCTATAGTGCTGCAGGTGAGCCGTGCGGCGCCTGCACATACAACGGCTACAGTATCACAGCAAGGGGCCTTTTCGGCGGCGTCTTCCCTTGCTGTGTTCACACAAGGAAAGCAGTAGATTATTCTAACAATTCTTTCCCTAATCCTACTGCTATCCCTTGTACCCCCTCTATGCCGATCATCTCCTTCAGCTCCGTGAGTCGAAGACGTCCGAGCGGCTTGGTGAGGACGTCCGCAAGTTGCCGACCAGTTTCGACAAACTCGATAATGATCTGCCCTCCATCGACATAGTCCCTGAGGAAGTGGAACTTTACGTCGATGTGTTTGCTCCAGTCGTGCAGAACCGGATTCTTCGCGAGGGCGATGACAGGCTGGTTGTCCACCATCAGTGCTGGTGGGTGAGCTTCCACACCGGTCAACTCGCCCAATAGCCGGTGCAGCCACACAACTTGGCACGCCGCTGTGGCCGCCGCTACGTACTCTGCCTCGTACGTAGATAGCGCCACCACCTTCTATTTCAGCGACATCCATGAAATTGGAGCTGACCCGAGGAAGACGAGCACGCTAGAGCTGTTCCGTCGTCCGTTGATGTCCCCCACCATGTCTGCATCGCTGAATACAGTGAGCTGCAACCTACTCCCACCGGTCTTGGGAAAAATTATCCCTTGATCCACCGTCCTCTTGACGTACCGCAGTAGCCGCTTCACCGTAGCCTAGTGATCCTCTCTGGGATCCTCCATGAAGCGACTGACGAAGCCCACGGTGAACGCAACGTCCGGCCTCGTGTGGACTAGGTAGCGCAGACCACCGACGATGCTCTGGTAGAGTGTTGCATCCACCTTCACCGTGGTGCTGGCCTTCGTCAGCTTCAGCCGCTCCTCCATCGGAGTCATGCATGGCTTGCACTCAGCCATGCCGTTCCTCTCCAACAACTTGGAGGCATACGCGCTCTGACCGAGCGTGAGTTCCTCCTTCCCCTGTCTCACCTCGATGCCGAGGTAGTAGGAGAGTGCGCCGAGATCGCTCATTTGAAAACGAGCCGCCATCTCACGCTTGAAGCTGTTGATGTCCTCCGTGCGCGCACCGGTGACGATCAAGTCATCCACATACACGCCGATGACGAGCTCCTCCTTCCCCCATCGCCACGTGTAGAGCACGTGCTCGGTTGCGCACCGCTAAAACCCAAGCTTGCCCAGCGTGGTGTCAAGCTTGGCGTTCCATGCTCGTGGGGCCTGCCGTAGCCCGTAGAGCGCCTTGCGCATTCGAAGCACCCTGTGCTCCTCTCCCTTGATGGCAAAACCTAGAGATTGCCTAACGAAGACCGTCTCCGCCAGCTCGCCGTTGAGGAAGGCCGATTTAATGTCCAAGTGATGGACGTACCAGTCCTTTGCTGCTGCCAAAGCTAGTAGCAAACGAACAGACTCCATGCACGCTACTGGCGCAAAGACCTCCTCGAAGTCTATGCCCTCGCGCTGAACAAAGCCTCGGGTGACGAGACACGCCTTGTGCTTGACAATGGCACCGAGCTCGTCCCGCTTGACCTTGTACACCCACTTCAGGCTGATCGGACGACATTCTGGAGGTGGATCAATGAGCTGCCAAGTCTCATTTTCCTCGATCACCTTCATCTCCTCCAGCATCGCCCATCGCTAGTTTCCATCACGCTCAGCCAGCGCGAACGTGGGTGGTTCCTCTGCACTAACAAGCAGTACCTCTGCATCATTGAGCAGCCGACCAGCCAGTCCTAAGGGTCCTGTGCCACCGACGATGTCGTCCAGCCTGCGGAACCGCACCTCCTCACCTTCGTGGTAGGCATCCACGAACTCAGTGATGTCACTTGGAGGTGAGGCAAACTCGATCAGCGTTGATGGAGTTCCCTGTTCCACTAGAGTGCTTGCACAGTACCTGAAGTGCTCGGCACCCTAGGTGCAGTGCTCGGCACTACTTCTAGATAGTTCGTCATAACTCCTGCAGTGTTCGGGCACACTGTAGGAGTGCCCAGCCTCAGTCTTGGAGTGGTCGGCACCACTACAAGACATCTTGGCTCCGCCACGGGAGTGCTCGGCACCCGTCCTGGACTGGTCGCCACCACTGCAAAACCTCCCGGCACCACTCCTGGCGTGCTCAGCATCCCTCCAGGAGTGCTCGCCACTCCTCCCGGAGTGCTCGGCATCCCTCCCGAAGTGCTCGGCACTGCCCTAGGAGTGCTCGGCACCTCTTCCCCAGCATCTCCACCACCGTGGATGACCAAGTGCTCGACGACGAAGGTGCTGGTGAAGTTGCCAGCTTCCCCCTTGCTCGGACTGCTCTAGTCCCAAGCCGCCTGCTCATCGAACACGACGTCGCGCGAGACAAGCACCTTGTCTCTGCACGGGTTATGGAGCCGGTACGCCTTGGTACCCTCCGCGTAGCCCAGGAACACCATGGGTGTGCTCCTATCCTCTAGCTTTGTGAGGTTCAGCTTCGTCTTCCTGACGTGGCCGATGCAGCTGAATGTCCGGAGGAAGGACACACTCGGCTTGCGCCCATACCAAGCTTCGAACGACGTTTTGCCCGTCAGGGCCTTGGTCGGAGCGCGGTTGAGGATGAACACCACCGTGGTCATCGCCTCCCCCCAGAACCTTGTCAACATGCCTTTGGCCTTCATCATGGATCGGGCCATGCTGACGACCGTCTGGTTCTATCGCTCCACCATGCCATTCTATTGTGGCAAGTACGGCACAGTGTGGTGTTGCCCCACACCCTAATCCGCATAGCACGCAGCGAACTCCACCGAAGTGAATTTGCCACCGCGATCAGTCCTCAGCACATGGAGCTTCTTGCTGCTCTCGACCTCCGTGCACATCTTGAACTTCTTGATCACCGCCGCCGCTTCATCTTGCTCGTTAGGAGTTGCAGCCACATGTAGCGACTGCAATCATCCACGAGCAGGAGGAAGTACCACCGACCACCGTTTGTAGCAGGCGTGATCGGGCCGCAGAGGTCGCCGTGGACGAGCTCGAGAGCGTCCTTCGCGCGATACTTGGCCGCCTTTAGGAATGGTAGCCTCCTCTGCTTCCCGACTAGGTAGCTGTCACACAGCTCATCTCCGTGCTTGATGTGGGGTAGCCCTTGGACCATCTTCTCCAGCCGATCAAGCGCATTGAAGCTGAGATGTCCGAACCGGGCATGCCACATCCATGGTTCCTCGGAGTGCCTTGTCGCCAGGCACACCGGTTGCTCTACCTTCAGGTTGAGCAGGTACAACTGGTTCAGGGACCTCTTCACCTTGGTGAGAAGTCGCTGCTCCTAGTCCCTGATCCTAAGGACCCCATCCTTGATCAGTACCTCGCTACCGCGCTCATCCAGCTGACCAATACTGATGATGCTGGAACATAGCTGCAGGATGTAATATACATCTGTTAGCGTGTGGTGCTCCCCGTTCTGGCACCTGAAGATGATGGTGCCGTGCCCTTGGATTGCCACTCGTGAGTCGTCACCAAACTTCACCGTACCAGTAACATCATCGTCGAGCTCGGAGAAGGATGCTTTGGAGCCCGTCATGTGGTTGCTGGCACCAGAGTCTAGATACCACCGTTGCTCCTGGTCGGCGCCCACACGTTCGAGGTGGACTTGGGCGTGTGGTTCGTCGAGGTTGACAGTCTTCAGGGCCTTCCAAGGTCCTTCCACCGTCGTCACCTCTTCCCTCTCCTCGGCCTCGATGTCGTGCAGTGCACAGAATGTCACCATCAGGATAGTGGCCTCGTCCTCATCATCGGCTTGTGCTAGGTGAGCCTAAGCCTTCTTTTCCTACTTGTGGTTTGGGCACTCCCGTGCCCAATGGCCCATCTTCCTGCAATGCCGGCAGGCGTTGGGGTCAACCTGCTTCTTCTTCGAAGAAGCCTTGTCGCGGCGCTTGCCATCGCCACCGTGGCTGGAGGAGGCTACCTTCCCGGAGTTCCTTCGAGCAGCCCACTCCTCTTCCGTCAGTAGGAGTAGCTGTACTAGGACTAGATATGATAGAGTTATATAAATAGTTTACCACTCCAACTCAACAAAGAAAGTTCAGATTTGACATCTCCTATACAGAGCTCCGGCCAACGCTGGTGCTTGTACTGTGTGTATGCTCTGTTCTCTCTCTTCTTCTACCTCTAGCCATAGTGTGTGTGGTCGGACAGCCTCAGTCATGCTCAGCCGTGGTCGGCAAGACTGGTGAGTGATCGACTCACCTGAGCCAGTGATCCTATAGGATAACAAGTGGTATTAGAGTTGTACAAGCGCCGTCGTCGGACTAACCGCTGGCGATGATGAACGGTTCAAAAATGGGCGACAGCAGTGGCACTTGTGTGGCTGCCCAGCCACGACTGGAGGTCGTTGTTCGTACTGTGCGGGAGGTCAACGGCACTAGTTGGCCGACGCTGACTCGCACCAACTATGGAGAGTGATCGGTGACTATGAAGGTCAAGCTCAGAGTCCAACGGCTCTAGAATGTTGTTGATAAGGACACTGACAATGAGGAAGATGACATGTCAGCATTGGAGGCTATCATCGTTGTTGTACCTACGGAGTACAGGGAGCCATTGGGGGTGAAGAGCTCTGCTAAGAAGGTGTTGGAGGCTATTACAGCGATGCGCGTC